ATGGCCCTTTGGGGCTTAAAAGTCCATAACAACATCCTTAGGGTTTGCATAGGACTCTAATGGCATAAAGTTTGCACCTTTAGGCCTTTGCAACCCTTAATGACTCCAGATCTGAAAGTATAATCAACTTGGGACATCCATGACTCATAAATCATACTTCTTGGACAAAAACCCCATCAAGAGATCTAAGGAACTACAAGGCAAGTAAGGAGCTTGATTACCAGAAGGTGATGATGATGGAATGAAATCCCTAGATCTATAACCTTCTCCTTGAACCTTCAAGCTCCTTCTTCTTCTTTTAGGCATCAAGAACACACAAACCACTCAAGGATGGCTCACACACTCCCAAAATGCTCTAGGGTTTCGTGGATTAGGGTTTAGGACTTGGAGACTGCGAATGGGCTGATGGAAGGAGAATAATATGCTTAAATAGGGTACAAAGACTCGGATTTAAGGTTTCCCAAACCCAAACCAACTTGTCGAGTTGGTCCACCAACTCGTCGAGTTGGTCCACCAACTCGTCGAGTAGGTCCTTCTACCCGTGTACCAAAAATCGCTCCTACTCGTCGATTCATCCCCCAGAATCGACGAGTTGCCTTATTGACTTAGGGTTTTCATTTCCTTTCTTTGGCCTTCTGGATTCCGAATGTTACACATCAGGTTGGAATGACCACATATTTTGGTTTCAATTACCCTAAGGAGAGTATACCCTCGACCCATAACCATTGGGTTGGAATGCCCACATACTATGAGTCCAATCATCCTCGGGATGGAATACTCCTGAACCACAACTATCGTGTTGGAATGTCCATATACTATAAGTGCAATCATCTTAGGGATGGAATACTCTCGGCCCACAACCATCAGGTTGGAATGCCATGGTTTGTTGGCTCTTGCACAAAACATATAACCATCAACCACCAATCAAACAGGTGCACATATATTAGATAATCATATAACAATTCTACATGTAGACAACTGATCTACATATCACTAAGCATAACAACATCCTATATACCAGGATACTGATCTAACTGATCATAATCACATATAACCATCCTATTTACCTGGATAGTGATCTAACAGATCACACTAACAATAAAGCAGGACAACAATGCCTTCGACCCTTGAGTATAGTGAGGAAAACTCACCTCACAATGTCGAACTGTACTAAATTGGAAAAGATCAAACTCCCGAAGCATGAATCCAAACTCAAACACCTACAACCACCATTGATCCAATTCCGTAAATTCCTAAATTACCAAAATACCCTTAGCATTCAAACTTGGTCAACCCCGGTCAAAGTCAAAGTCAACGACCAAGGTCAACAGTTCACGTTTTGACCCAACTTGTCGAGTACAACTTATAGACTCATCGAGTTCCTTCAGAACTTAGAAATCCGTGAAAACTCCAGTTAACTCGTCGAGTTACCAAGTAACTCGGCAAAATCCATGCAACATCCAGAATATCGGGAAATCCTAACCAACTCGTCGAGTCACCTTGCTAACTCGCCGAGTTCATGCAGATCCAGAAAGCGGGAAACCCTCATCCAACTCGTCAAGTTGACTATGCAACTCGTTGAGTTCCTTCATCCATTTTGCATTCAACTCATTCCAATCGAGTTCATGGGTTCAAACTCCAGATCTGGCTTTCTAGGGTGGAATTACCACGTAAAGTTGCTAACTTTATGTGCATGCAAGGTCTCAAAAGGCTTAAAACACCAAAACTAAGTCTAAGAAGAAGTTTAGCGCATGGAGAAAGGCCAAATATTCATAAAGCTTGAGGCTTTATATCAAAGAGGGCCTAGAGGGGTCTAGATCTAAAGCCATGTCCTTGTGACAAGCTCAAACCCGAGAATGACCCCCATTTTGTTCCAAAATCCTATAAACTTGTATAAGAAGAGATATAAGGAATGGAAAGCCAAGGTAAAGACTTTTTACCTTCAAATGAATGCCAACACGATGTAGATGCTAGATATACAAGCTTATTCCTATTCCAATCCTCCAAATATTCCAGCCTCTTTCAAGAAATGCACCAAACACACACTTTTAGCCTCACACACACTCAAATAGGGTTTAGTTCGCTTAGGATTTACTCTCTGGTCGTGAAAATGGCAAGGGTGGCTGGGGGAAGTACTTAAGGTCCTTTAAATATGGTGCAAACCCTAAGGATTAGGGTTTTCATAAACAACCTCAACTCGTCGAGTTGGGTCCTCCAACTCATCGAGTAGGTTCCATAAATCACGCGACCTGATCAATCTCTACACGATGAGTTAGGGAAACCATCTCGTCGAGTAGGTTCTAAAAATGTGAAATTTAAGCTTCGAATTAATACCTGGGAGTCGGGATGTTACAGTTCAAATGTAAATAATGCATGTATATTAGAGACTAAAATTACGTCTTTAGAAAGTTTCCATGTAAATGCCAAATTAGTGCAATTGCATCAAAGACTGAAAATTTTTCCCTAATAAGTTTCTTAGAAAATGAAAATTGACACATGACTATCAGGGACTAAAATTTAGTCCTAAGTCCAAATTCAAAATTAGGGACATTCTATTCAAGACTGAAAACTAGTCTCTAATTTGTTTCCATCCAAATCTAAATTGGCACGAACATATTAAAGGCTAAAATTCAGTCTCGAATCGATTTAGACAATCACTAATTATTTATACATTAAAATCAATCCTAAATAGTATAAGAGATTGATTCATCATTCCCAGATACATGGTATCTAAGACTGACTGACTAGTCTTTGATATTTTAGTCACATATGCCCATTTTTCTTGTAGCGATTAGAAAGGCAAACACTGTATCAGAGAGATGAACACAACATCAAACTTCTCACAACCTAACAAATATCATGTATCATTCCTTAGGGCACTGCATAATTGAGGCTTATACGGTTAACATATATCGATTGTGCCTAAGCCATTGATTTCAATGTTTGGGAGGATATCAATATTTATTTTTAAAATGTATCGACATCAAGTTCATTTTTCTAATAAAACATCCTGCTTCTCGCAATGCTCTCATACCTATAATGGCTATTGTCATTGTATACACTCTTTAAGCACTTTAAATTCCTAAAAGTGCAATCCTAAAGTTTTAATATACCGATATTAAGCTTGTTTAGATATTCCTTATCATCCGCAATATTGACTTCTTGTCGTTTCCACTTCTTTCCATCTCAATCTTTAAGAATTTTATTAACCTCTTTTGCTATTTACCTACTGCCTTGATTTTTTCAAATTATTTCATATTGAGATTATCAACTCATCCAATGTATATGTTTTCCACAACATTGCTTCCTTTTCGGCTAAATCTGGATTTCATTTTGCTTTTCCCGGTCGTTGAGCCTGATCAACTCGACTCTTTTCCCTGACCCGACCTTTCACTTCATTTCGTTCTTTTTCTATACCCTCGTTTGAATGAAGACACCTGATCGACTCAACTTTCACAAATGTCGACCACTGGCCCTTCCCCTTTCCGAGTCTGGATTTTTCGCGTCGTTTCTGTCGTCGTGGTCGACAGGGAAGAAAGAAATGAATGAATGTTCTTTTGGGAAAATGTATAATAATACACCTACCGAGGTGAAAGCCAAAGGTGAGTCTAGTAGGTGGACGTATCGAATCGAAATAAGATCTAATATTAACATCTTGATACACTGATTTACCATAGTAATAAATAGAGTCAATGCGGACTTCGCCGTGGGAAGAGCCGCTTCTTTCTTGCTTGATAGAGGGCTTCCATTCACCAGCGCATACTAAAAATGCTCTCCGAACCGTGATGGATAGTCACCCATCACACAGTCGGCGAACATGGGCTATTCTTTTCTAAGGGCCCATATATTTATCGATATGTAATACTAGTTATATTCATTTAGCGCCCAAATCTTTTAGGTTAATCAGTTCGGAAACGGAATACCAAACAAGCATGAATTTGAAGTGACGGTTTGTTTCTTGATCAATCATGTGAAAAATAAATACATCATGGGAACGATTTGTCTTTCGGTGTTGTCTTCAAACTATGTGTTGATTCACATCCGGAAACAACGTTCTTGTCTACTTGATAGTGTCAGACGATTTATTGATTCACTCTGGCAACGATTTTGTCGATTTTCACAACTCATTCATCTTTGTTGTTAATTAGAGGATGTACTTGTTTAATTATTTATTGCGGATCTTTGTTAGATAAAAACACATTTCATGTTCTAGAGCAACATGAAATCAAGGTATGCATTCATAACTCATTATTTAATCTTCATTCTAGTGTGACTATTCCAAAGTTCTTGATTTGTTTATTCATATTTTTTAGCAGGATTTTCGGTTGTGTAATATGTTGAAGGCCTGCCATTTTTTGCATGTGGTTGGCTAAGGGGGACTTCTTGTGGTTTTTTCTGTTTGTTGCATGATCTCTTTTGTTTCGTTGTCCAAATGAAAACTTTGGGTTTTAGGTCATGGGGTAAGTGCTTGTACTCTTGGTGTTGTTTTTATTTTGTTTTTTGTACTATATCATCGTGCCAGCTTCCTATTGGCCTTCTTATGTTAATAAAATGTTTTGTTGTTCAAAAGAAAAGAAATTGTTTACAAACACACAAATCAAAAGTAACATAACCAATAAGAAGAAATCGGTGCTTCTTTTTTACTTTGTATTTGTCCTAGAGTACCTTGCTTGCTAACGTAATTTTTCTCTGATATCCTTGTTTACTAATGATGGGATTATAATACGTTGATCAAAAGTAACATATGAGATTTTGTATATTGACGTTAATTTACCTATTTATGTTTTCCAATGACATACAAATCTCTTTAATCCTTATAGATTTGAATTAAAATAAAGGGCAGCTTAATGTTTCTTGGTTCGAGATATGATCTGAATTACTAATAAATGGAACATCTTTTAACTTGATTTTGTTGCTTGTAGGCACATAAAGCGGTGGAGTTGGTTGGAAATGTCATACAAATTTATTTTGGGGCCTATTTTTATCAAATTGCACATAGCCTACAAAATCTCAGGACATGCCTGTATTCCATTAAACATTGGGACATGAAGATTCAATATAAAAACTCACATGTACTTCTCATATTACCACTTATTAAAATGAGTTAATAACTTGTTCAAATTCTTTCTTCAATTTCATGTTCCAAATGAACTTTTACACAACCTTCAACTTCCCACAAAGTTTCCATAACAAAGTATGGTTATCCAATTAGAACATTAAAACCCCACATATCAAGTCCACATAATACATCAAGATCACTTTATGTTCTTGATTTTTTTAACACTAAACCATTTCTTTCCATGATGCATACGCACACGTCTCTCCTCATGTCTTGATTTCTTACTTTTTCTACATTCATCTTCTAATGAGTCCTTCAATAGCTTTGTGAGTTTCGGATCCTCTACAATTCCATTAGATATCATTTCATTATATAGTTCTCTAGCCTTCACTTTTAATCCATGCTTCACTAACCCTTCCACCATTATCACAAAATGTTTAGAATTTGGGAAAACTTCATAATCTTTCATTTTCACCCAAATTTTCAATGCATTTTCAACCTCATCCACACCCAAAAACTTCTCAAGAAGTATAACAAAAGTATCCCGAGTTGGCCCATTTCCCGATCTCTTCATACGTTCAACAAGCTCCAAACTTTCTTCAAAATTTACGCCTATGCCCTCAAGAAAAGCATGATATGTGTCAATATTAGGGCTTACATTTTCTTCCAACATTCTTGACAATATCCCTCTTGCATCTTCTAGTTTTCCCAATTCACATAACGTACGTATTATAAAATTATAAGGGGTAGAATCGGGATTTAACCCCATGTTCTTCATCTTCTCCAATATTCTAAGAGCTTCATCAATGCAATTCTCGTGTGAAAGAACATAAACTAATGAATTATAAACCTTTCGATTCGGTGTCCACCCTTTTTTCTTCATTTCATCGTATAATCTTAGTGAATCGAATAAGTTATTGACTTTGGAGAAGCAAGAAATCATGTGGGTGTAGGAATGTTCATCTGGGATTATTTGACATTTGTCCATTTCTTTCCAAATTCTCTTGGCTTCAAGTATGTCTATGAATGTAGTACACCAGCCTTCAAGAATGATGTTGAAGCCCTTGGTTTCAAGTGGGAAGAGTTTTGCGTTTAGAAACATGAACTCTTCAGCCTCTTCAATGTAGCCATGTTTACAGAGTGTGTGTAGAAGTGAGTAGAATGAATTCTGATCAGGGCTAAGTTTGAACTTTTCCATTATTTGGAATGTACGAACAGCTTCAGCTGGTTCGTTTGCAGCTGTATATCTATTGAAACACAAATGAATTTGTTACAAGTTACGAAAATTCCAAGTTATTTCAGCTTACAAAATCATAAAGTCGTCGTGTTCTTGAAAAACGGTAGCATTCTACCATGAACGAAAGAGGTAAAGTAATAGCAAAATAAATAAAGGATGTAATTTAGTTCATACCTGTCGATCATGATGAGCATTGGGCGTTGAGTGTTCATGGAAGATTGATACAAGTCCCGAATCAGACACCAAGCATTGTTGAACTTTTTATGGTTCCCCAACACCCATATCATCAAGCTCCAAGCTTTTTCATTATCACATTTCCATTTCTGACCCCATTTAAATACGAAAAAGGCTAACTTCCACTCATCCCTTAATTCCCAAATCACTGAATTGATCAAGACGTCATTCGGCTTGATGCCAGATCTGTCAAGAAAATCCGACGACTCTGCCTCTCCAGGGTTAAAATTACTACGCAATAATTTGACTAATTGAATCACATCCGACTTTGTATTTTCATCGACATACTCTGTTATCTGGGTGAAGTCTATTGTTTGATAAAGGTGGGATGGGTGGAGTGTAGAAAAATGGTTGTAATCCAGTTTTTGGTATTGAATACCAGGTGTTTGATGAAATGCCTGAAAGAGTGTATGTGTTGAATGCGTATAGGAAAGAGTGGAAAAACCATATTGAGAAGCTAGTGATCTTAGAATAAATGGTAAGAAGGGATGAGAGTGTGTACGTTGTTTGATTGTTCGAGCAAGATAGGAAGAAAACATCAATGGGTTTTCTTTGATTCGCAGCACGCTTCAGCTCGAGGGTCAGGGACTCGGGTGTTCAAGGGCACTTGCTTAACTGTTTCAAATGGAAATACACGAAAAGAAACAAATTATACCTTTAAAATTAATTTAAAATAGTTATTTAAAAGCCAATTTAGTATTATGGCAATTGCATTTTTTTTTTTGTTCAAAAAAGTTATTGTTATGACTCGTTAACAAGCGATTAATTATGATATGACATTGATGCTATAGGATATTGTAAAACGATTTTTTTCATTAAACCATTAAGTTTTAATTATTATTATTTTTTTTCAAAATAACCATTGGCTTTCGGTTTACAAGGAATTACAAAGCAGTTAAGCAAGCAAACAATTCAATTGACTTTCAATTTACTATTTTTACGTGCAATCCATTGAAACAAGCATATAATTATATAATAACATTATATGAAAAAAAAACGCTCTTCTAGTGCTTCCTGTTATCGAATAAAACCGAGTTTGGATACATCCAAATTATTTCAAGAAGTCGTGAAACATACCCCTTCTAAGCAAGACCTCGGGATAGTATTCAAGTTTACATGCCATCCAACCATGGGGAAAGGAAATATATCACCAAGGAACAATCTTCCTTCAAATATCATGAGCATGTCATCGGGTCATAACTCATAACATGAAATGGTCTCCATGCCACTCAGACAATAGGACAAAACAATGAATCCAAATCAACACCCCCGCTAAATGGATTGCATCTAGTAGAAACACAATTAAGATGAGACGGTGTGGTGCGGTTCCAAACCGCGGTTCGCTGCCACCTAAGCATGGAACACCGCTCCCAAGGTGTGGTTTCCTGCGGTCAAGACCGCAGTGCGGTCCTTGAAGACCGTGAATTCTGATTTGTTGGTCAACTTTTTAACCGTTGAACTGCAAGATTCGTGTGATTTTCTTCTTTTTTTTTTTGTTTCTTTTACTTTTTCTTTCCTATATATATATACACATATCAACTTAATTTTTTTTTTTCACAACACAATCTCCTCTCTAAAAAAATAAAAAAAAAAAAAAAATTCACCACTCTCCCAAAAATATCATATTCTTCATCTTCTGAAGAATTTCAAACTATTTTTGATACCGTTATTGCGTGTGTTCAAATGGCGGAACAAACATACAACGTTGTATGTAACAACGCAACTGCAAGTTCTCAACATAGAACACGAAGATATATTTACAGAAATCGTGAAGAAGCCAACCAACGTTTGGTGCAAGACTATTTTGCAGAGAATGCCACTTACCAAGGGTATTATTTTCGTAGATGCTTCAGAATGCTCAAAGGTTTATTCGAACGTATAGTTGATGATGTAACGAGGGAATGCAGTTTTTTCCAACAACGATACGATGCTAGAGGTATACTCGGTTTCACTCCCTTATAAAAATGCATGGCCGCACTTCGTCAGTTAGCATATGACATTCCGCCTGATGCGTTAGACGAAAGTTTTAGGATGTTTGTTAGGATAGCACGAGACAGTCTCCATTTTTTCTGCAAAACTGTGATTCGGTTTTATGATCCAAAATTTTTACGTAAGCCTACACATAATGACATCCTGCAATTGCAAGCTCATCATGCTAGTGTGCATGGGTTTCCTGGAATGCTAGAAACCTTAGATTGTCTCCATTGGACATGGGAAAATTGCCCTACAACATATCATGAGCAATTTACCCAAGGTGATCACAGTTACCCAACGGTCATACTTGAAGCAGTTGCATCACAAGATATGTGGATTTGGCATGCTTTTTTTTGGTTCTTCTGGTTTGATTAACGACATCAACGTTCTTAATTGTTCACCAATATTTAACAACATATACGATGGATCCGTACCAGATTCTTCTTTTCAAGTGCGTGGAACGCCATATAAGTATGGTTATTATCTGGTCGATGGAATCTATCCTGAGTATGTTGTGTTTGTTAAATCGTTTTCAGCTCCACATGATTCTAGACGAAAGAAATTCAAGAAAACTCAAGAAAGAGCTAGGAAGGATGTTAAGCGTGCTTTTGGAGCTCTGAAGAAACGGTGGTTCATATTGAAAAAACCAACAACTTATTTAGGGGAGGAAAAACTTCAAGAAATCCTGTATACATGTATTATATTGCATAACATGATTATTGAAGACGAAGGAAGAGCGATATGTACGTTTGACGAGGAAGAAATCATACCAGAGACACAACCAATAGAAATTGGTGGCGAAGAGTATATAAACAGGAGAGCAGAGATACGTTGCACTGAAACAATTCACAATTTTCGCAATGACTTAGTGGAACACATTTACGGAGTTCAAAACATTAACCTTAATTTGGATCCACCGGATGACCCCGAAGATGAGTTCTTGGAGAACGACTTTATGTAGTTTGCTTTAGCTATTTTATTTATGTTTTTTAAGTTTCTAGGATTATTTAAATGTCATGTGTGTGAGTTTTTTTTTTTTTTTTTTAAATTTTCAAGTAATGAAGAATTATGTTTTTTTTATTAAAATATAAGTTATAATAAATTAAAATAGTTAAAAAAAAAGAAGTTTTATTAAATTAAAATACTTAAAAAAAACAAAAAAAATAAAAGAAATAAAAAGTGTGGCACCACACCCTTGGTGTGGCAAGAAACCACACTTGAGTGGTAAAAAGTGACATGACGCTTATGTGATGGGGGAGAAAGTGCGGTTTCGGTGACACCACTCCCTCCAGCCTAATAACCACCCTCCACAAAATATGTTGACTTTTAATGTAGTCAATTTGTTCCATCGAGCGATACGATTAGTAATCGGGAGGATAACTTCTTCAATGTGTTATCGAGTGAAGTTAACTGAAAACACAACAGAAGAGGCCAAGTCCAATTGTCATCCATAGTCGTAGGGTTTAATGTGGGTCCTACCATCCTTATTGATTTTTTGAACTGTTCTATTATCACCAACTTAAATAAGAAAAATGTTGATAAAATGTGGGTCCTACCACCTTAAACAAGTTATCTCTTCTCTCCATTACCCTCGAGGCCTCGACCTGTCCATGGGTAGACCTTAGGTTTTCTTGTATTTGTGATGGATTAGCCAATGGGAAAAATCAAATTTAAGGATTTAATGTTTTTTGGACCATGATTTGAACGGTTTTTATATCTAGGATTTATGGGTTTAAAGGTTTTCATCAAATTATGACCGAAAAAATAACTAGTCTTCAAGTAAACACCTAAACGACCAATCTAATATGAGAAGTTGGAAGTTAATTACAGGGAACACCACATCTTCTTCTAGTTGGGTTGAAGATGAACAAGTATTTGAAACCGATGATCTCAATTTATATGTAAACATCATCAAGTTCGTTTTGGTCTTGTAAATTGTTAAAAAAAGAAAACCAAAGCATTCCATATTATACAGTCTTACACGGATGTTTTTTTTAGTCTACCAATGGTGTTTGGACTTTATGATTCCATGCTTAATATATACATTCAAAAAGAAAATAAATAAATAAATAAATAACAAATAAAGTAGGTGGGATAATGGTCTCCTCATTTAGTTTCATAAAATTACAAAATAACAACTAAATGATAAAAACAATCTGAAAATGAAATCTATAAGGGTAAAACTATATTTTAAGTTTCGTAGGGTCCAAATATGCAACAATGGAAAATTCAATAAATCGTCTAAGTAAAACAATTCTCTCAAGGACGAAACTAGCAAACAAGACCAAACTACAGGGACGATTTATGTAATTTACTCTAAAATAGTCGACCATCAATAAAATAAATAAACCTTTTTAAACATGATAGTTGTCTTCAGCTATACATTATTAATCAAAACTTGGTAACAAGAAAGAAAAAAAAGATGTACAAAATTTAATCCTAAAAAGGCATGACTCTCCTAGACTTAAAAAACCACAAAAAAGAAAAGAAAATTAGGAGTCCAGCAACTCCCGTAATCAACAACACCCAATTAAAAGCCGATGAACTGTTAAACAATCCTATCGGAAAATTCATCCCAAATATTCCCGCCACTACTCCAAAAATCGCAACCACAAATGTTGCAGTTGTCAATAACAACTCAAACTGTATAAGCTGATTCCTCACATTATCCTACATTATTTTCATAATCATTAAAAAAAATCACAATCATAATTTGAGAAACAAGTCAAACATTAAACATACCAGTTGAATGTTAATAAAGTCCTCAGTATCATCAATGTACTCCTTCAGCTGTTGACAAAAACATCAACCTAATAAAAAACTGATATACAGAATTTAAAATTAAAATTAAAATTAATACCGATGTGAGCTTATTAAGAGTGCTATCAATGACAACAAAATAAGCCTCCAACAACATCTCCATTTCTTCAATATGTTGTTTCCCGTTTTCTGAGCTTCTCATGCTTTCATGTCTACTTTTTGCAAAACTAAAAGATTTTTCAAGCTTTCGATAATCTGGAGGTGAAGAAACTGGAGAAACAGGAGCTGAAAAAGATTGGACACCTTCACCAATCATAGATTGTTCACCATAATAAATTGACTCCATTCTTTTTTTCTTTTCTGTAAGATACATTTCAGCCATATCTCCATCATCATCCATTAATTGCTCTACTTCATCTCTAACTTTTTGGACTCTTCGAGTTAATGCAACAAGTCTGCTTTTTAATCTTCTAACACGTTCCAAGTTTAATGTGCTGATTGTTGATGTGAGTTCATCTAGCAATGGGTATGCTTCAGTTTCCAATTCTGCTGCCTGATGAAGGAGTTAAATGAATTTCATAACAAAAAAAAAATGTTAGTATTTTACAAAAGGTGTATTGAATATTGATCAGACCTGTGTTTCTAGAAATGTGCAAGCAGCTTCAAGGGCAATTTCTAGAGCCTTAAACTCAAAGGGTAAATAATCAGATGATGAATTGTTCCCAGATAAGTCACTGAATGCATTACATTCTCTCAATCTTTTTAACTCCTCAGAATTCCAAAACTCTTTTAATCTTCGTTGTAGTTCAACCACATACTGTAATACGTAACTATCAAGAGAATTCAGAAGCAAGACTTCATCTGCTGTTATTATGCAACGGATCTGCTCCAAGTTTACAACTATGGCTTTCTCTCTACC